AAGTATTTTTCTTTGAGGGTGCACCTCAAGACTATCATATATTTGTTATTTTCATATTCTCTTTGCTTTAGTTTTTGATCTGTACAGGTCAATAATCCTTCTACTTTTGTCTAGAAAGCTGTTCTATATATGTATATTCTCCTTTTTAAAACAGTATTTGAAATTCTATAACATTGGCTAAATTAATGATACATCTCCATAAGGATGATTTATAATATTTCTCAATAAAAGAATGATGATGAATACGTAGAAATATGAGTAGATTTTGAGCTGACACTTAATTGTAGCCCTAATCTAAGAATTAGTTTTTATGTCATGAAACTACTTGGTACCTGCCTTCATGAAGAAGAGATCACTGAAGATATGGGTGCTATAGCAAAAGTGTAGTAAAGAAATCAGATGGTGCCTGGCTATCAGAAAGAAATAGTATTTTGGGTCTAAATGACTTGTCTTAAAAACATGAAGCCATATAAGTGAGGTGATAGCTAAGTCCACACGGAAAAAGCACACCAGCCTGTGTGATCCAAGGACTGTAAATAATTAAATCCAAGATCAGAAGAGGCAACAGGATTAGAGCTTAATCTCTGAATACCCAGTTTACAGAAGGTTATGAATGACAGTGTAAGCACAAATATCCATTTGCTGGGTCCCTAGCTGGGATTAAGTTTTCAGTGAATTACCTCTGAATATTGACCAGGGATGTAAATAGTCTTGCTATTGAACAGAGTACATTGGAAAGTGGACTACTATAGATTTAATCGGGCTATAATTTAACACCTTATCAGCTGTTCACCCTTTGGACCCATTTTAAATTTGTTATGTTTTTATTATTTTCTGCTTTCTTTTTTATTGAGTTTTCTGGTCTGTTTTATTCTGTTATTGTTGTTAGGTTTGTTTGTATGTTTTTTTTTTAATATGAAAAACCCAAGATAAGTAAATCTGTACAGACAGTAGCTAGATTAATAATATTTTAGGGCTATGGCAGGGCAAGATGGAGGGAAATGGGGAGCTAAGAATAATGAGTATAAGGAAGAAAAAATGTTCTAAAATTGTAGTGATGATTGTACAACTCTTTTTAATATGTTTAAGCCATTGGGTTGTACAATGTTAATTATGTCAATAAAACTGGTAAAATTTTAATTAAAAAAGCCAACACATAAAAAAAAAAAAAAAAAAGCCAACACACTGATTAACCAAAGAGTAATGAGTTAAATACAAAAAAATAGTGGACTAACAGCATTTTTAAAGTCATGTACTAAGGTGAAAAACAACAATAAGAATACAACCCTTCCTAAATATCAAAGGAAATTTAAACAAGAGAATATTGTGCTGAGTAAAATAAGTCAGCCACTAAAGGTCAAATATTGTACAATCTTACATAATCACAAATATGGTATCGATACCAAATCTATCAGTTTTTTATCATTAAATACGTAGTTTTTACTCACTTGGAAAAAAAATTTTAATTTCGTTCACAAAACAGGACCTAATGATGCTACATATACAACAAAGGGATTGAGAAAGGCTAGAGAAAAAGAGATGAGCAGATGTATCCCAGCAAATGAAAACAATAAAAGGCTGTAATCTTTTTAAGTAAAATTCAAGACAAAAAAGCATTAAAGATAACAAAGAACATTTTAAAATACTATTTAAAAACCATAATTCCTAATAATCATAGATTTCAAGTCATTATTTGCAGTAGAAGACAGAGCAGGCATACCTGAAAAAAAAGGATGTAGACAAACTAAACAATGTAATCAATAAGATAAAGTATGAATATATTTTGAAATTTTACACTCTGAATAGAGAATACACCTTCTTATCAAGTGAACACAAGATATTAAAAAATAGATCACATACTTGTAACAGGTAGCTAAGAAACTATCTGTAAATCCCATCATCATGTAGCAATACACTCTGATGAAATTTTGATGAAACTAGAAATCAAAAAGGGCCTTTCTCTGAAAAAAAAAGTTTAAATTTTTTATCACACAAGATTTATAAAATCCTTTATCTTTTATTTCTAGGGTAAGAAATGAGCTACAATTGAAATAGCAGATAGAAAGCCTGAAGGAAAAAGATGTCCTTTCTCTTACGATAATCAAACGCTGAAACACTGTGCTTTGCTTAATCAACACATTTTCTGTCTTTTTTGAGTGGACAGTGGGGAGAAGGAGAACACAGCTCGGATAAGGCTGGGAGGCTGTCTACCGAATACAACCACAACCAAACCAACCGCTGTCCAGTTGATTCCAACTCACAGAGACCCTCGAGGACAGAGGGGAACTGCCCTTCTCATCGGGGTGCTAAAGCTGTGGGGTCTTTTTTGAGCTGACTGCCACCTTTTCCTTTCACAGAGGGGCAAGTGAGTTCACACTTCCGACCTTGCGGTTAGCAGCCACACACTTAATCACTGCACCACCAGGGCTCCTTATACAAAGAGCAACAAACAGAAAAATAAGCATAAGAAGGGAAAACATTTGCGGGGGGGGGGGAATGAATGAGGACTGCAGCTTTACTCAGATGGAAGTAAAGAAGATAAGAATTCTGGCAACAAATGTACAAATGTGCTTTACACAACTGATGTATGTATGGATTGTGATAAGAGTTGAATGAACCCCCAATAAAATGATTAAAAATAAAATTTAAAAAACAGGAAAAAAAGGATTCTCATGGTAGCATTGTGAGTGTTACAATAACAGAAAAAGATAAAGATGAAGCAATTGATTTACTACTCAACAGAGATGAATACAATTTTCTCAGTATTTCCAGTATTGTTGCCAACTACTTGAATAAAAGGACCTGCTTTTTGCATACTCACAAAAACATTTCAAGTAAAAATACATTTCAGTACTGTAAGTGAAAGAAAAAAAAAAGAAGATAGGAATTCTGGAAAACAACCTAAGAGTCATACTTATAGAGATGCTTGTTCTAAGTATGGTAAATAAAAGAGACTACAGAGAGGTAAATATGTTACCCATACTAATCCCACAGACAGGGAGTAGAAATGATTTTACTAACTCACTATTCAGAAGGCAGAGAGATTAAAAAATAAAATATTATAAGGAAAGTCACCTTTAAAGTATTGCTTAACAGAACATCTCATTTTTTCTGGGGAAATACCAACATACAGAACTGAATGAAAGTTTGAAAAAGATAATAGTGATAGTTGAACAATGGGGTTAACATAATGTCAATAAATTGTACCTGTAAAAATTGATGGAGTGGCAACTATTTTATTACATAATTTTACCAATTAAAAAAACAAGCAAAACTGTGTGCAAGTAGCATACAGAATCTCTGAAGTTACTGAAACAGCAGAAGTTAAAAATAATTTTAAAAATTTTAAATAATAAATTAAAAAAAATAATGCCTCATCCAGCACAGGTAGCAACTGATTATTAACTCAAGAGGTAATGTTTATCAAATCCCTTTAAGTAATTGATGGGTAAGTATTTGTATCTCATTTAATCAAACACTTAAAAACTGGACAGGTCAGAGGACCAATTCTTCCAGGAGTAACTGGCAAACTTCTCAGCAAATGTCAGACACATATTTCTTTTGGTTCATGGGAGGGAAAAACATACACCATTTAAGAAAATCCAAGTGCCCCCAAATCAAGTCCGTTTAAAATTTGGTATCTTAAAATGTCAAAATCTTGATTTTGAAAGTCAAGATTTCACTTAAGAACAATTACTCTTCAACCTCGCAATATCAGATGCTGCTAGAACATACCATATTTCTTCAAGACACACAAGTAGAGAAATACAAGGCTGTTCCTTCCCTTCCCACCCCCGCCCCAGCAGGTACAACTTAGCATATTCTAAAAAGCAAAGCTTCTTCATGCAAATGTCCACCAGAAACAACTACTACCACCTGTTCCTAAAAGTAAAAGAAACAAGAGGAGCGTGAGATCAGGGTGGAGAAGTGACTAGTACACTGTGCAGGGAGGTGGTCTACCACTACTGGCATGCAGTGACTGTCAAGCAGGTGAACAGAATTATAGGCAGAGGCTACCAGCTAGAACCCTGAAAGGAGCTAAAGACTCCAAGCGGAGAGCCCAACGTCCTGGCGCATCACACAGCTCCAAGTGCAAAAGAATTCTACCAGGGAAAGAACTCAGGTTTGTACCAAAGGAAACTCTCAGGAACAAAACAGCAGCTACATCGAATGTCTTCACTTCCTCTACACATGAAAAGTCTATGAACGTTATAAAATAAATTAAATATGCTATTAATTTACACTGAAAAACTATCAGCCGTGCTTTTCATTAAAATTAGTTTGTTTCATAACCTATTCTCATGTGATAGTCATTTTTCATTTGGGAACTTCTATTTATTCATTCATTCAGAATTTTTTTCATTTGGGCACTTTCAAGCAGGAGATATAGATGTGTGTGTGCGTGCGTGTGCGTGTGTGTGTGTGTGTGTGTGTGTGTGTGCGCGCGCGCAGTTAAAAGAAAATGTCATTTCAGTGACAAGCCACTGAATTATTTAACATATGCTATATTCTATAGACAACAGATCAACAAACTATAGCCAGTAGGTCAAATACAGGCCACAGCCAATTTTTGTAAAGAAAGTGCTATTGGAGTACAGCTATGCCCAGTGGTTTGCTTATTTGTCTACGTAGCTGACAGACTATATGACACATGAAACCCAGACTCATTACTATCTGGCCCTTTATAGACAGTCTGTTGATACCTGTGCTACACCGTGTAAGCTAGAAAATGGAAATGTTCTATATTAGTAGTAAGTTCAATTGTTAATCTTGCCTAACCTGTGATTTGACAAATATTTGATCTACATATGAAGTGCCCTTTCTCTGAGTCCTGTATTCATTCGGTTAAAGTTTCGTTTTGAGTTGCTGTGTTCACTGAGGTTTCCCATGTACAAACCATCACATAGGGAAGAAGCTGTGAAGGTTAGCTTGAGAGTAGCAAAGACTATTCCCAACAGATTTGCTTGTTGCCTATTTTTCTTAAATTGCTATAAAATTACCATTTCGGAGTCACTGTGAGAGGCCTGACCCAGGCTGGGTGCAGGCCCGAGCTCAGAGTGAGAAGCTTGGTCAAGGGAGAGAAGGGGCTGAATAATGTCATCGTAATCATCTTCCTCTGTATCCCCCTCCCCATCGGCAAAAGTACCTCTAGTCAAGAAATCGGAGCGCGTCCGCGCCATGCGAGCTTTCTTTTTATGGGCCGGTCTGGCAACCTGCTTGACCAAATGATAAAACAAATAACACAACAATGTTTTGTTTTGAATGGAGATGATGCCAACAAAAGGCATCAGAGGGCTCATGAATTTCTTGAAACATCCCTCCACCCGACCATGCCCTTTCCACTACCAAGAGTGACAGGGATAACCAAAAGGAATCCACATACATTACCCTGGACAAAGGACAACAAGAGAACTTAAAGCTATGCTGATTTTATCCACAGCCAAGGAGGTCATCCCTGATAGGCAAAATCTGTCACCAAGTCACTTGCATAAATGCCTTCTTTTTCCTAGCAACTTCTCATTTGTATATATAATCTGAATTTTTAGGCACCATTATCTGCCTGGAGTTCACCTCCTTAATTATAACAAGCTTAGCTCATGGTTTCTTTCTCTATAAACACTTGGGAGTAAATGGGTAGGTGAAGTACTTTAATAACAAGAATAATAATTTCCAGAACAACAGGCATCTAACTTCACATAGATGGAAGATAAACAAGATCTAATACTTACCTCTCTTTGGCCCAGCCCAGCTGGCCTCACAGGTTTCCAAGCTGGTTCATCTTGCTTATGGTAGTGAGGATTTCCACACTTTAAGGATTCCTTGCTGACACTTTAGATAAGACAAGAGATAACATTTCAATTACTACCAGGGATCTCTAGCCAATATTCTTTAAGTGTAGCATGAAATACAAGGTAAGAAGCCAGGCCAAAGAGTTCCAACAAATTCCATAAATACTTCCCATCATACTCAATTCCCAAAATATGCCAAAAAATTTCCATTTACTAGCTAAAACAATACTGAATAAGAAGAACATACATAGTAGGAAGAATCTTCTTTATTTTAAAGCATACAATATACTCTACAGCTACTCTACAAAACAATCTGGTGCTATTAAAACAAGAGACATACAGACCAAAAAAATAAAACAGAAAATCCAGAAATAAAACCATGCATCTATGGTCAGCTGATTTTTCACAAAGGTGCTAAATATATTCAATGGGGAAAGTAGAGTGTCTTCAATGAAAGGTACTGGGAAAATTGTATTTCCACATATAGAAAAAAGAAATAGGACCCTGTCTCATATCATACGCAAAACAAATTTGTATTAAGAATGTAAATGTGAGAAATACAGTCATAAAATTTAGAAGAAACATCACAGGTAATCCTGTCAAGCCTTGTTTTCCAATCATGGATTACCTAAGAAAATAGCAAATGCAAAACCAGGGGGAAAAAGCTAAATAATAGGAGCTTCATAAGAATTAAAAACTTTTATTCATCAAAAGACATTATCAGAAAGGTAAAAAGACAATCTATTAATCAGGAGACTATCTTTGGAAACCATATATCAGACAAGAATCTAATAGCCAAAATATCTGTAATATTTAGAAAACAACAAAAAGACAACCTAATCATAAAATGGGCAAAGGATTTAAATAGATATTTCACCAAAGAAGAAACCCAAATAACCAGAAAACACATGAAAGGGTGCTCAGTAGCCATCAGAAAGAAAGTTCATATCAAATCCACAATGTGATACCACTTCATTCTCACTAGGATGGCTAAGATTTTTTAAAAAGAAAGAAAACTAATGTGGGTGAGGAAATGGTGAGGGACTCTTATTCACTGGTAATGGTAAAGAAAAAATAGTACGGTCGCTGTGGAAAACAGTGTGACAGTTCCTTCAAATAACTAAAAATAGAACTAGCACTTAACCCAGCAATTCTACTGCTAATATGTACTCAAGAGACTTGGAAACAGAGACTCAAAAAAGGAGACTTGTACACCAATCAATGTTCACTACAGCACTATTCACAATAGCCAAAAGGTAGAAGCCCACATGTCCATTAACAGATGACCGTACAACTGTGTGGAATGTTATAAGAGCTGAAAGTCTCCAATACAATGATTTAAAACAAAAAACAGATGACTTGGATAAACAACATGTTGTACATAAACAAGATAGGATACTACTCAGCCAGTAAAAGAAATGAAATCTTGATACAGGTTACAATATGGATGAAGCTAGTAGATGCTTTGCTAAGTGAAAAAAAAAGCCAATTACAAAAGGGCAAATATTATATGACCACATTTACATAAAAAGGCACGGAGGAGTAAATGTATAGAGTCTAAAGTTAATTATTAGTTGAGGGAAAAGAAAAAAAAAGAAAGAGGGAAAAGGTAGCTAATAGTGATTTTTAAAATTTACACTGATTAAGGGTTGGGTTGCACAGCCAATTATTGTAATTGCAGACAATAAATTGTTCACTTGTGAAAAGTTAAGTTAGAAAAATTGTGAGAGATATTTACAACAATTCCAAAAAAAAAAGAAGTCAATGTTGAGGCTGCTTATGAACAACCAAACAGCACATGGTATTTGGATCCTTACTTTGCAGGTTTAGGGTTTTGGTTTCATGAGATGTCTGGTTAACGGGTTTAGTAAGGTATTTAGTGCTTCTGTTTCACCTCTTTCGTTTTATAGAGCATGGGGGTCTTAAAAGCTTGAAGGCGGTAACCCAAGACACAACAACGGGTTCTCCACTCACCTGGAGCAATAGTGAGATAAGAACTGGAATGGTGCCCAGCCCCCAGTACTGAACATTTTAATAAAAAATGCAACAGAGGAATCTTAATCAAAAGAAGGAAGGTGCCAAAGAATTTCAAGTTTTCAAAGAATCTCGACTTTCTGAAGCCATGGAGGATAGATAAACCCCTGAAATTATTGTCCTGAGGTAATCTTTTTTTAAAATCATTTTATTAGAGGCTCATACAACTCTTATCACAATCCATACATACATCAATTCTGTAAAGCACATTTGTACATTCATTGCCCTCCATCATTCTCAAAACATTTGCTCTCCACCTAAGTCCCTGGCATCAGCTCCCCACTGAGATAATCTTTAAACATGAAACCAAACCAAAAATATCCTGAGGTTATCTTAAAACTGATCAATACCTTAATTAGTAAAAAATGTCTACTTTGAGCATTATGCTTTTTTAAGAACTATCTCAATGGGATCTCATTAACAAGAACAATCTGAAAGACTATGTTAATGAGGGAGGAATAAGTCAAAAAATGAGTGAAAATGGTTGCTTAATTTGAAAATGTTTGCTGTGTATACTCTCAACAACAAAAATAAATAAAATGTAGGAAGAGAATTTTTTTTTCTGTTATCAAGAATGCATGTGTATCAGTGAATTGCTTGAGGCCCTGTCCTGATAATTTCTGGGTATATTCCATTATGCTCACACATCTTTAAGATTATTAGTAGCAATATTAGCTCAAGACATAAACTATATTTGATGATAAATGGGGGGGAAAGGAAATGCCAAATCTTTAGACTGCTACTCTTAGAATATGTCTTCTAATCTAAAAACTCAAAGCCAACCCACTGCCACTGAATCAAGTCCAACTCCCAGCTACCCTAAAGGATGTAGAACAGCTACCTAGGTTTTCTGAGGCTGTAAATCTTTATGGGAGTTTCATCTTTCTCCCGAAGAGTAGTTGGTGAGTTAAATACTGCTAATCTCACAGTTAGCAGACAAATTATAAAATATCTGATAAGTAGCCATCCAGTGATGAAAACTCCATTGTTGTACCTTATACTAAAATGATTCCTATTTGTTAGAAAAGTTTCTTTCTAAAATCTTGCTTGGTAGCTTTCACTTATTTAGTTTTAAAACTTGAGGAGGCTTTAAAAAGAAGGCATATCAATAAAAGTCATAAAGAAATTCCTTTAATCCCTTCTTTCCACAAACACTTTGACATCTCCCTATAAATCGACATCAGCACTGACAAAAAGTGGTTATCAAACAAATAAAAAAGTATAATCTAATCCATAAAGGTGATTAAAGTGCTGGGTCCATGGGTTGACACTTTGCTACAATACTAGCTGGCAGACTGATTGCTTTTCTATCCAAAATCTCACATTTTATGAATGAAGGTTCAGGCTCCATAGAACTTAATTAATTCAATTTATTTTAGCTCGCCCATGATTTAAACAGTTCCCTCAGGAACTTGAAAAAATTCTCTGTATAGATCTATCTTGAGTTTTTGAAATATTTTATTTATGTCCATTTACAAAATACTTCTCTTGTGGTTACAAGAAAAAGATGAAGCTCCTGTAAAAACCTTAATGAAGGTCAATTGCTATGCCAAAACACATTACCATATACTTTTATATGGTATAATTACCATGTATTTTAGGATATTGCAAGAGAATTTTATTAAGAAACTCTTAATTAAGGAAGAAGAAAAACCTTCCCTGTTTGTTTTTGTTTGAGTCTGCTTAGCTGGCCTCTTTATTTCTTATTTCACATCTGCATACACAGCCTTTTAAGCATTCCCAAGCAAGAGATTCTTGGAACTTCTGCCAGGAGTAGCAAGTGGTTATGAGAAATGTAATCCCAATATTATTATACCTACTCCACACATGCTATCTAAATCGCGAGCTTGGCTCCCATGCCCTCTCTTGTCTCTCCCCTGAGAAATTTCATATACATAATTCTTTATGGAACCAAGGTTAGACTGCTGTTCCTTCCTAATCTAAAGCAATGAGCACTTACTGAAGGCTCATTACTATGTTGCACTTCACAAATGCTTTCTAACTTCATGTGGAAGAACCAAAAAGTCTGTACTTAGTCTAAGACTCCAATAAAACAAAAAAACACCTACCGAGTTTCTGCCCCACCAATTCTGACTCATGCCAAGTCCCTGTGTTTCAGAGAACTGAATTTCCAATGACTTTAATAGATTGGGAGGTATATTAATAAAACAGTCCAAAAGATACATAAAAGGATGTAATAAACATGTCACTCACAGTGGAATACTCGAGTTGTCCTTTGGCATGAAGAAAATGGCTCTAGTTGTTCCCTCTTTGGAAGGGTCATCAGATTTATGGCTACAAGACTGAGCTGGATGCCTAACACATTCTCTTTTTGAAACACGATTATTTGAGAGTTTACAAGTTGTGTTCATTTGGGAGCCTGTTCTGTCTGTCTTAGATAACTCCTTGGGTTGGCATGGACTTCCTTTTTTTTCAAAGGACAGGGTGACAGGTCGGTCCTTCGGGGGTAGGTGAGCAGAGGAACTATCTTTTGGGGCAAGAGCTGTACCTTTTTTAGCTATTGAATGGGGTTCCGGTACACCGAGTTCTCCTTTATTTGTAGTATTTAGAATGAGAGAGGTTGGCCTCTCAACTATTTGCCCTGATGGACTTATCAAAGGGGTCAGCATATACTCCCCAATTCTTGGCTTTTCAACTGTCTTGAGGGCTTTACGTTCCTTCCCTAAAATATCTGTCTGCTGGCGAATCTGCTTCATCATTTCTTTTTCATTCTGCTGTTGTAACTGCTTTTGCCTTTCTTCCTTCTCAATGTTTAGCTTTTCTAGTTTTTCAAGCACAGTATTAGAAGGATCTGTATTCAAAGAAGCAACAACTTGATCTTCTCCTGAGCAGTGGTACTTTGGGGCTTCTCTATTGATATCCAAGGTAAGAGCTGTCCCCTGTGTTTCTTTACTTTCCAATTGCTTGTTTCTCTGAATACTTGTATCTTGTTGGGAACGAGTTTTCAATGGATCTTGTTGGGGAATATAAAAAAATGTAGGCAGACTATTTGAAATAAGGGGTTCTCTCAGCTGTGGTTTACAGGTAATGAATCCGGACCTGCAGACTATCTTATCCTGCATAGTGCCATCCTTCAAAGGCTCCAAGCCAGCGGGTGTCTGCCTTTGCGTCAGTTCATGGCTAGTCTCACTTGAGGCACTGCGGGCAGCATCCTGTGGACCGTCTTGCGGACTCCTGATGGATGTCTGAGGTGATGGAACTGTCCAGGCTCCAACACCTGGAATGACTGGCTCTAGTTTGCTCTTCTGACTTTCTTCACAGCTCAGAAGTTCCAAGCTCCCTTGAGAACTTTCACTATCAGGTGTGCCCCGTAGAGACGGAAGGCCCTCGGGCATGAGTTCTGTAGACCATCTGCGTTCCTCTGAAGGAGACCCACCACCAAGGGAGCGGACTTTTAGTAATTCTAAGCTAAATATAGCTTGCTCCAGTTCTCTCATCCTCCGGCTTTCTCTTTTGGCCCGACTGCCTTTTTTCTGATGGAGATCCTCCAAGGACTTGGGTCTCTCCCTCACGACCACATCTTCCTGGAAGTCTGCACCACTTTGGCTTCTGGCTCTCTCCTGTCGTTTGTTTGGGGAATCCTCGGAGTAGTCTCCTGAGCTCTCACAGCTAATTCTATGACTCTCGATTACAGATTTACTTTCCTCTATGGCTTTCACTCTATTGTCAAAGGAACAGTCTTCCCATTCTGAAGGGTCTGAGCCTTGAATGTCCAGAGACCCATATGCCTGGGTAGTCACCAATCCAAGCTCTACTTTTGTTTCTTTGTGTCTTTGTTTTTTCAAAGCTTTAAACCTATATGAAAACATGGATGGGGAAAACAGGGAGGGAGGGTTATAGATACACATTAGTGACCACTACAGAGCATACATTTACTGAGAATATTTTTTTTAATGAAAGTCTCAAAATTTTATTTTTCTAATAACTACATGATTTCTGGAAAAAGGCATGATGGCCAAAGTGGCCAAGGCAAAAGAGAAAGACGTGTAATGAGATGGACTGATACGGTGGCTGGCAGCAATCGGGTCAAACAGAACAACTGAGGGGTTGGCACAGTCTGGGCAGTTATTCCTTTTGTGGGAGATAGGGCTGCTACAACACTGACAAGGAATTCCTACACAAACTTGGAAGCACATCCTATTTACATGAATCAGATAAAACTGTTATTGATTAAACTATTTCCAGCTCAGTATTCTATTCAAAACATAAACTAACTCAGAAATAAGCTTCTCATTTTAATAATACCATTATTTTAAGATGAAAGTTTCTGGAGGTAAAAATAGTTTAATATTGGAAATTTTATCAGTTTCACCTTAATGAAAAAGCCATTCCAAGGAGCTGTAAACATAGACTACATAGAATTTTAATCCAACTTAATTCAATAGTAATTTATTTAGCTTCTATTATAGCAGCGGTTCTCAGCATGTGGGTCCCAATCCCTTTGGGGGTCGAATGAATGACAGTGATGAAGTAGCAACTAAAATAATTTTATGGTTGGGGTCACCACAACATGAGGAACTGTATTAAAGGGTTGCAGCATTAGGAATGTAGAGAACCACGTATTATACGCCACACCAAGAACCCTGGTGGCACAGTGCATTAAGCCTTGGGTTGCTAACCATGAGAGTCGGTAGAGCAGGAGAATGAGGGCAGATTTATAGCCTTCCTTGGAAACCTCATGGAGGAGCTTACTTTGCCTGACATGGTTACCAAGAGTTGGAAATGACTCGATGGCCGGGTGAGTTTTAGGCCAGACAATATGGGTTAAAATCGCTGAGTCTCAGAGACCAATGGGAGATAAATTGTATACAAGTGCAACTGACTGAAACCCAAATTAGGCAAGTATTACAAGAGAGGTATAAACAAAGCACTTGTAAAGTGAGAAGGGGTAATAACTGTAGCCATAGAGATTACCTATGTCTTGCTCTGAATCCTCTACATGCAGCTTGCAAAAGGATAATTTTGTTCCTTTGTTCTCGGTACCGCTTCTTTTCCCTGTAGCCTTTCCATCTTGCCTGTATGTAGGCAGCCGCCACGTGCCTCCTTCTGTAATAGTCCCGCCACCTTTGCTGGATAATGATGGCTGCAGCTCGCAGCTCCAAGTACCACCGCCTCTCTAAGTAGGCACGCCAGGACGCTTGGAGAAGAGTAGCTGCACTAGCCATAACAAACACATTCTTCTGCACAGCTGCATCTCTGACATGCTTCTGATTCAGGTAATTCCTCCAGAATCGCTGGGGGGACACAGAATAATAGAAGCTGCTGTCATATGTTATGCCACATTTTCATGGAAAATAAGAATAAATGTCCTAGGTTATAATGAAAGAGTCATTGGCTAAACAGCTAAACTATTTATGATTAAGGTGAAAAAAAATAGTTTTTCCCCAGATAGACTTGGCTATCAACAACTATTTTAAATAATATGAAATTAATTAAAGTTTAAATGAAGTTAATTAAAGAAAATAAATGTAAAACTTTGTTTTCAGTTCTATTATTGAATCTTAATAAATTAAATATATTCTTACATTATACTTTGCCAAATAATATCAATGAGTTTAAGATGACACATTTCAAAGATTCCAGATTTCACACAGGATTTTCTTGCACAAACAAGTGCTGGCTATTTACTGAAAGGTTGGTGATTTGAACCAACCAGTTGCTCTAAAACAGTGGTTTTCAACTTGTGGGTTGTGACCCCTTTGGGCGGGGGTTGAACCACCCTTTCACAGGAGTTGCCCGATTCATCACAGTAGCAAAATTACAGTGATGAGGTAGCAACAAAAATAATTTTATGGTTGGGGGGGGGGTCACCATAACATGAAGAACTGTATTAAAGTGTGGCGGCATTAGGAAGGTTGAGAACCGCTGCTGTCAAGATAAACGTGGCGGTTTGTTCTGTACGATGTAAAGTTCTAGAAGCACTGTGGAACAGTTCTACTCTGTCCTGTAGGTCTACCTGAGGCAGAACAGACCCAACAGCAATGGGTAATTTACACATCAGACAATCTGCTGGGAACTTTGAGCATTTCAAAATGAGACCCATTCTATCTCAGGAGGAGTTTATGTTCTTATTGAAATGTTTCAAAGTAAAACTGTTCTGTTACTAAACAAAGGCCAAATAAACAAGCCAGTCTCATGCAAATAAAGTATTAAAAAATCCTTTGCTACCCACCTGGATAATAATGGATGCCTGTCTCAAATTGAGGAAATGTTGCCTACACAGCAAGACCCTGAACCATCGCTGCAGTAATATGATTCTGCGGAGCACCTCTTGGTGAAGCAGGTCTTGTAAGTGCTGCCGTTCCTGTTCCTTTAAGAACACCTACCGGAAGGAGAAAAAATGAGGAATGAACTCCTTTTATGCACCATCCTTTCTGTGCTAAGCTTTTAGAAAACAGAAAATGCATATGAGCGGCACATGTGCAATTGCAGTATTCTAAATGGAGGCAACAGTAGGATCCGGGCAGGTGAACACAAGCATCCTACTCCCTGAGTCAGAGATAGTGAGATATTACTCACTCCGAAAATCACCACCACTACGGGCTAATGTGTTACTGGTTTTATGAGGAGACTTCAAAAAGATTGGGGAAAAATTGAATTAAAAGATACTGGGATTTTTCCATGAACTTTATGTGAAGTCTCCTTCACATATGTCCTCTTTATCAGGTGAACTGGGTGGATGGGTGAGTAGAAGTTGTGAATCTCATATCTTGAAATTTGATTATAACTTGAACAAACCAATGATAATAGTCTCTCTGAAGCCCAGCATGCATCAAAAGCATCTTGGTTCCCAAAGTTGCATATTAATTTATTTATCTATTTAATTTCATGAATAAATCTTTAGTGATACAAAGATCAGTTAAATAGTTAGGGGAAAACAACAGATCAAGTCTAGAGACAGAGGAACCCACCTGAACAAAACCAGGAGTTGGAAATAATAATGAAAGCATACATCCGCTACTCTTTAAAAAAGATAGTACAATATGGAGATTCTTGAAATACAGAAACATGTTTGAATTCAATGAGATGGCTACCAGAGGATTGTGAGCAAAAGGCCTCCATACATAAGCATATATTATAATGACTTTGTTATGATTATAATGAGTTCAACAATATGACAGATACACTGGAAGCAGAGAAACAAGATATTCAGTATAGGAGGAACGTAGGTGAGAAGGGCAGGAATGGAGAAAAAGGGAGAGATCTGCAGATGGCTTCTAAGAGTACAAAACTTAGAATTCTGTAAAATAATTAAAGTGAAAATTAAGTCAGAAGCAACAAAGCCCACATGGAAGAAGCACACCAGCCTGTGTGATCATGAGGTGTTGATGGGATCAGGTATCAGGCATCTAAGACCCAGAACAAAATCATATCCAATGTGAATGGCCGGGGGTGGGGGAGGCGGAACATGGAGTGGAGACCCAATACCCATCTGTAGACAATTGGACATCCCCATACAGAGGGGTCACAGGGAAGAAATGAGCCAGTCAGGGTGCAGTATAGCACTGATGAAACACACAACTTTCCTCTAGTTCTTTGACGCTTCCTTCCTCCTACTATCATGACCTCAATTCTATCTTACAAATCAGATTAGACCAGAGCAAGCACACTGCTACAGATAAGAGCCTGCAACACAGGAATCAAGGATAGACAAACCCCTCAGGGCCAACAAGGAGAGTAGAGATGATACCAGGAGGATTAGGGGGTGGGTGTGAGGGAGAAAGGAGGAATTGAACACAGGATCAACCTAGAACCCCCTCTCAGGGGGACAAGCAATGGAAAAGTGGATGACAGAGGACAATGTTAAGATATGAAAATAAAATGATTTAAATATATATATATATATTTATTCTATAACTTATCAAGGGTTCGTGAGGGCGGGCAGGGGAGGGAGGGGGAAGAAATGGGGAGCTGATATCACGGGCTCAAGTGGGAAGAGAATGCTTTGAAAATGATGATGGCAGCATATGTGCAAATGTGCTTGACACACTGGATGAATGTGTGGGTTTTGATGAGATGTAAGAGTCCCCAATAAAAGTATTAAAAAAAATTAAGTCAAAGGTGATAACCATTTGTGGCTTGAGAAATGGAAGAAGGGTATCAGAGACAGTACATGATAAATTGAAGAGAGTATAGGAATCTCAATATTTTGGGCAAATAAAGTTGGAATCAAAGAATACATAGGGAGATATGTTTCTTAGTTAAAATTACAGTCAAAACTAAAGCAATGGCCAAATACTATTTGATTAATATGGCTACCTTAATAAATAACGTGAGCCTAATAAAGATCGTCATGATAGCTGTTTACTATCTTTATTATGAGCGCTCTCATAGGCAAAGACTGCCATTATTTGCTAAATAAAAATACACTCAATTTTAACAAGGGTTATGTATTTACCATAGTTTTTCCAACTTGATAATTATCTGAATTAACATTTATTTTCCTGAAGAAATCCTGAATGTTAAACTTAGATGGAGTAATATTTCGGGGAAGTAGTACATGGAAGTGGCTCACAAAATCCTGAAAAATGAAAAGAAAATGTTATAAAATCACAAATGAATCATATATAAAACAAGACCCTATAATAGCTAACCATTATTTTTCCTCATTCTTTAAACAAAGTAAAATCAAGAAAGAGCTTGTCAGCTTAAAATATTACAAAAAGGTTCATTTGAAAAAGACAGCAAATTCTAGTAACTATGTTATCCAAGGGGTACAGAAGATGAAAGGAAAGGTAGAAGCTAATTATACTTTCTGAGAAAACTGCATTAAATCAAAAGAAAAAAAATTTTTCAAACAGGGACCTGAAATATTTAGCATAAAAATAAGCAAATGGGGCGACTACTACCAGGGAAAATGGAAAATAAAGTTTTCCCTCTCTGCAACAGCAAAAATGTGTTCAGCTGCTGAGAAGCCACAATGTGATGTCTACACCCAGAGCAGCAGCCACTGAGAATAGGGCTTTAAACCGTTTCTAACCATCTCAGTCAAGGATGAGGCAGTAAAATCAAACTGAAACACATCTGTCAACTGGGAGTGAACAGAACAATAACCTGAATAGGAAACGTAACGGGGCAAAGCCCTGGGACAGGACATTCAGAAGAGGTACAGTGAGCCCTCTTGGGAGGCTGATATGGGAGAATGGATTATTGCTAGGTCTGTGGAGAGAAGCACACATTCACACATGGGTAGGCTGCAATCTTGGAGCCAGACAATTGTGTTTCTGATTAAGAGTTTTGATTATTATGCACCGTCCACACTGTCTTTGTTATCTAAGAGGGAGATTATGTTTCAAGCAGGGTATCAACTTGTAATTTTTCCCCTTTCAGTGATCATCCCAATATACACACATATTGAGTCTGCTCAGGTTTCACCTCATCAACCATGACTAAAGTGAGAAGAACCAATGTGAAGCATGGATGAGAACAGCTGACTCTTTTTGGTAACATTCTATGAAAACATTCTATTGAGAAAACTCTCAGGAAAAGCAAATGGAATCTTTGAACTAGGTCATTCACATTGAACTATTTCAATTACTAGATTGTGAGGAATCATTGTGAGGAATTGCTGTGTTGCAAATAAATTTAGGACGAGGGAGCTTCAAAAAGTTTGGAATACTGGAATTAAAGGTAATGGGATTTTTCCATGAACTTTTGAAGCCCCCTCATATTACCAAGTGTTAAGGTTAAATGAGAATAGTCAACTACTGACATCTATTACAATACAAGCTTAATGAGAACACTGTAATCCAATGAAAATTACATATTCTCCTACCCCTTTTTAATTCTGTATGCAAAAGATGGAATGGAAAGAATTAAAGGAAATAAACATGTGAGCCCCCAATAAATCATAAGTAAGATATGCATATATATATTTAAACATTACTATAAAAACATAACCTGGAAAGAATATTTGCAGCTGTATCCTGATTGTCGAATTCGAACTGTCTCCAGCATTCCAGTGTACCGAAGCTGTCTAAGTACCAAGGTATCATTGAACCTTAAGGGCAGCTAATACAAAACAAAGAGAAAAAAAAATTTAACCCAGAAGCAAAACTCTCCAAATTAATGTTTGTCTTATAATACCGTTAACTCAGATTTGCTGGGAAATGTCTGGTAAAGATACAGCTGAGATGCTAGCAATCTCACCTCCTCAGCTAGTCACCTCCCCAAAGTTCTGAATGCCGTGACCCTCGGGGAAAGAGAAAACCCAAGATTCAGCCTGCTCTGGTTGTAAAAGGAAGGACCTTGAACCAACAGAAATGTGGCTGCCCACATGACAGAACCGGAGCCTCTAAAACACTCCAGCTCATTGCCATCGAGTCGATTCTGACTCCGCAACCCACAGTCTAGTCGCGGTGAAATCTGTATCAGGATTATCCTACTTTCTGGATGAAGGGAGGAGATAGTGGTCAGTGTAAGACAGGATAAAAACAAATTTATCAATTATTGAGGGCTCACAGGGGAGGGAGGGAGGACAGCGGAGGGAGGGGAAAAAATGAGGAGCCAACACCAAGGGCTTAAGTAGAAAGAAAATATTTTGGAAAGGATGATGGCAACAAATGTAAAAATGTGCTTGACACAATGGATGGATGGATGGATTGTGAGAAGAGTTGTATGAGATCCCAATAAAATGATTAAAAAAAAGAAGCAAATAGTGTGACAAATAAGAAAATGTTCTAAAATTGATTGTGGTAATGATTGTACAAGACTTCTTGATATGTATGATATGTGCATTATGTGGCAATAAACCTTTTTCTTTAAAGCAAAAAAAAGAGTAAAGGATGATGACAACACATGTGCAGATGTGCTTGATACAATGGATTATAAGAGCTGTAAGAGCCCCGAATAAAATTTTAAAAAATTTTAAATCCTACTTTCATAATGAAGAGCTGTCTGCATTTTTGTTTAAAACTGTGATTTTTAAACAAAGCTAAAAAAAACCCTATCCTAAAAAACCACCTACCCCACTGCTCACCAGCTGCCTAAGTTTAACTGAGAGGTGACAGACTCTTCTAATGACTAGCATGGCTTATTTCCTTATCTTTTGCTAATGATACTAGTATGAAGCCTTGAAAAATAAAAAATCTAACAGTCTCCGAGGGTTAATGCTCTCAATCCACAGGCACTGATGAGCAAGGGGCTAATGGGAGGTAACCATTTCTCACAAGGCACAACACCATCATTCCTAAGCATTTTGGTAGACATAAATTTAGACATTCAAAAGATGGAGCTTCTGACAGTTCTCCCTATTCCCTGTGTGCTACCTCCAATGATTATCGGAGGCAATCCTGGATATCTTCTTATAGCTAGATATCAGTTAACATATATTACATACTTAATTCTCATTTATTTGATGCTTATTCTATGCCCTAAAATACTTCATTAATTAAAATCTTTCTATAGCATCTCAGTAACTGAAACTCAAACTTCTATGCAATTATAAATGAAATTATTTATATTTTAGTAACTATGAAAGAACAGCTTGGAAAAAAAAAGAAGAACAGCTAATATCTGTTATGTGCTTACTAATACCAGGAACATCCTAAGTACTTTGTAGGTATTAACTCATATATGCACACAAAAACAAAATGAAGCTCATCTTATAATTGTGGTATACTTACTTTTAAGAAAATATTGAAGTCAACAAATTGCTCAAGTAACTCATCTAAGGTCACAAAGTTTGTAAATGGTAGAGAAGACTTCTTAAAAGTTAAGAAAGGTGAATAGAATTCTACTACATCTTAACTAAATTTAGGAAATTATTCTTTCTGATGAGCATAAAGATGACAAATATCTATCCTGGTTAGGTATGTTTTGAAAAAGCTCAAAACAGAGGGACTGCCAGAGAAAAGTTCTTCAGTATTTTTTCTAAACTAAAGAGATAAGGATCTTTAGACATCAAAAATGCTAAGCAAGGTAGGAACGATAGTTTGTAGCCAAATAAGAGAGATTACCCTTAGGGTGAAAAACATTGCATAAAAGAAAACTTTTCTTCTGATAGAATTTAAAGAATATTTTTTCTCACAATCTATGAATAGATGCTAAATAACATTCATATAAATATCATACAGGCAGGATCGCTATAAAAATATTCTGAGAACTTGCTTTCCTTATCAATATTAGATAGTTTATATTCTTCACTTACTCTTACAAAGAATTTAAGGCTCAGTCTAAAAACTGTGAGCTGAAACTGACACTGATTTAAAGGACATGTTTACCTTTTCAGCATTAGAGCGAATGCATTTTACAAAATATGGTTCTGCTTGACCAAGTGTCTCCATCAGTTTGCTTAATGATGCCTGCAACATAAAGTAATACAATTAGCATATTCTTCCATTCCAAACTGACAATGAATAATAAATGAGAGTATTTATAAACTAGGCACAAACTGGTGACATACAAGTAGATCCCTGGTGGTAAAACAGGCTGTGTGTTGGGCTGCTAACTGCAAGATCAGCAATTCGAAATCACCAGGCACTCCAAAGGAGAAAGAGGAGGCTTTCTACTCCCCTAAGGAGTTACAATCTCCGAAATGCATTGGGGCAGTTCTACCTCTCCTACAGTGTCACAACGAGTCAGAATCGACTCGATGCCAGTGAAGTTAGTTTTGTTGAAGAGACATACAAAGAAAGGATTTTTCCCCCCTAAAAAGCAAAGTAAATATTCCCCTTTCCATAATGTAAAATTGAGGCTAATTAAGAATAAGGATGATAGTTTAATCTAAAACTACTAGCTTGGCAATAGTAAATATTATAGATATGTTTTAAAATAATCCAAATTTCATAGTTCCCACTTAATGAAACAATTTCATTCAAACTCAAGCAATCCTAAAGCAACTTTTAAACTTATCCAGTAGGTGAGCCACCTTTTCAGAAAATGTACTATTAATTTTAACTGACCCAATGGCAATGGATTTGGGTTTTGTTTCATTAGTGTTTTGAGTGTATAGGAGGAGGTAGTCAGAATTGCCTTTTATTTTCTTGTTTTCAGTGTAGTTAGTGATGCTCTTCAATTCCTGATACTCGTAATTGTTTTTTTCTCTGTTTTCCTGATTCGCCAGCTAGAGGCTATCAAGTTTTTAAGACCTTGTCAAGAACCAGCTTTTGGTTTCACTTAATTTCTTGCTCTTTTCCAATTTTTAATTTCACTGATTTCTGCTCTTTCCTAGTTCCTTCCCTCTTTGTGCCTAGTACTTTTCTGTTCTGGAGACTTACTTTTTCAGACACTACCAGTCTTTCTACTAGTGTATACTGCTGGATATATTTTCACAATTCCTTCTTTAACCTTCTGTGTCATTGTGTGAGAAAGCTTTTAAAAAATATTATGTAAAACTGGAATTTGAAGATAATGGAATTTTTCCATGAATGTTTTAAAGCCCCTTCAAATTTCAAAAGAGCTTCCAGCAGATAGCATAAGGTTTTTTCCTGAAGAACAATGACTTTTTCTTTAGCAACAGAGCCTTTTATCCAATGCACCACCACAACTGAAGGCCATGGATTCCGTTTTGACTCATGGTGACCATATACAGCAGACTAGAACAGTCCCTATTAGTTTCCAAGACTGTAAAACTTTACAGGAGTAGAAAGCCTTGCCTTTCTCCCAAGGAGCAGTTCGCAGTTTAGAACTGCTGAACTTGTGGTTCGTAGCCCAACATATAATCCATATACCACGAGAGCTCCTTAAAAATATTGTTACCCACCACATTTTTCCTCTTCATAAATGATGATGTCTATTTAATGAGAACTTTAGAGAGAGAATTCAAGAAGAAAGCAGCACTGAGACAATGACTTTGAAAAGAGCTACTTGAAGTTACTCCGCTAATATTACTCAAGTTCACTCCTAAATGCAGAGTCACAGCAAAAGGAATTATATTCCTTTGTATAAAACTACTATGTATAAAAACTAAAGCAAACGAACAGAAAAAATCCTACAATTGTTTGGCTAAATTTGTTTCAATGAACATCAGAGAAGTCATACATCGTTGTGTTACCAGTGACTTTAGCTAGGCTGGTGTTGTTAGTTGCCACCAAGTTGGCTCCCAACTAATGGCGCCCTTACGTGTATCAATGAAACATTACCTGGCCCTCCGCTATCTTTCTGATTATTGATATTTGTGATTATATCTTTGGGGCTATATTTATAGCTGGGCAATATGGTTTAAAGGCAGATTTTGTTCACATAATATCCATTTTCTGCTGCCTTTCATCTCACATTCAGAGTAATTTATTACTCATTAGGATATCCACCATCCAAAGATATGTGAAGAAAAAAACAAAGGCAGTTAATTTTTTTCTATTTCTAATACTTTTCTACAAAATGGCTACTTAATGCTAAAAATAATTTGTTCGTTCTGACCTTTCAATGCCAATCCGAAAAACAAATTTAAAAACCCAGATTCCTATTTGTTATAACTAAAACGGAAATAACCTGAAACTGGGCACTGATACTTGGAGGTTTCTTCTTCTTGTGCAAATGGAGAAGTGACTTGGTAATTCGATCCTGTAGGGTGAGTCTGGTCAGGTGCTTTAAAGAATTCACCTCTAACAAGTGCTGAAAAAGAAAAAAACATCAGATTCTTATTCCTCACAAAAAACAATTTAAGAATATTATTTCTTCCATAGTTTTCTATCTCCAATGACCGTGGTAAAGATGGAAGATTGGTATTCTACTTTCTTCTTCATTCTACTCTCCTGTGCTTTCCTGCAAAAGCTGGTGAGCTAAAAACAAAGCAACATTTCACAAAACCTCTTGCTTCTAGAGTTCTGGATGTGACAAAAGTTCACATCAAATCAATTACCCACATGTGAAACTGCGCAGGTTTAACTGAGGAAGAGGCCTTCGGCTCCTCCTAGCTTGTGTCTCTGCCAGCAGCATGCACATAGAGGGCTTCAGCTATCTGTGGTCCCCATGTCCAGGCACTACATGAGAGTAGCGGCAGCAAGAATGCAGGGGATTTGTGGTCTACTGTGACCCTAGTAACAAACATTGCTGATAGGTGCAGTAGCTCCCCTTAAATTACGCCACAAGTAGTACAAGCTTGGAACCAATAGCTGCAATGGCAACGTCCTTAATCCCTTATCTTTATCATTATAGCTGGAGGTCAGTCCCAAAGTGGTGTTTTAAATACTCTATATTTCTAAGACTTCTAATAATTTTGTAAATGGCTAACTTCTTTAAATAAGTACCTTTCTACTTAATTGTTTACAGTGATTACTGTTATCTCATAAGAAATCCTGACTCATAGAAAAGAAAAGAAATCCAATCCCAGGGTACAGTAGGTATGCCAGTAGAAACCAAAACACAGATCCTATCAACCCTCACCTGATCTGACTACCCCAAATCTCAATAGGGAGACAGGACTTAACAAAAAAGCCATTAAAGAATACAAATTGAGATTGTTCTTAGTCAACCTTAATGTTTTAAACCACAGTACATTTATGATAGCAAATTTGTCAAGATTAAGATGTGTGACAGTGACAATATAATGTTACTTAAGACATATAGTCAAGGTCTTATTTGTATGAGAAACATAGTCTGATTTTTTAAAATGACAAATTTAAAAGGCTATAAAAAGTACTATTCATTTGACGACATGAATATTTTGAAAAAACAATTTTATTGACATAAAATTCAATAGGACAATTATATTGAAAGAGTTGTATAATCACCACCACCATCTGTCTTAGAACATATATTCTTGTTTCTTGGACTCAGTGTTATTAGTAGCTCCCCATATTCCCCCAACTTCCCCTAACATACCTCTAAAAATCCATTAATTCAGATCCTGTCTCTATATATTGACCTATCCTGGATTTCATATACAGAAAAACAAAAAACAACAGTGGAAAAACCTCAATCAAAAAGAAAGCAGAAACTATTTAAAACTAGAAGAAATTTAAAATGAGTAATATGAATAATTTTTAAAACCTTTCAAGTGACAAAAAGTAACAAACATTCAAATAACTGGAATTATGGAAAAATATTTCAAACAAATGACAAAAGCTGATCATTTATATGTATATAACTTTCTATGTAAAATGAGCTAAAGACCTGAATAGGCAATTCTCAAGTAAAGTATAAATAGCAAAACATAATGACACTCATTCAATCTCTCCTGTAATCAAAGAAAAGTAAATTATCTTTTGAAGAGCTTGCCCGCCTATCACACTACCAAGCATAATAAAAATGGACAAAATGCAATATTCATGAGATGGAAAAACATAATGGTACATTGTATATGCATGTACTTAAGAATATAGTTTCATATAATCTTGCTGACAAGGACTTTCACTTGTAGGAATTATTTATCATAAGAAATTTATATAAGCAGATTATCAAACAAGGTCTCCCACCCACTACACCACCAAGTTGATTCTGAATCATAGAATTCTTATATGGGTGAAAATATTTATAGGAGCAGATAATTTTATCTCCCATGGAGCAACTAGTGAGTTTGAACCACCAACCTTGTGGTTTAGCAGTCCAAGGACACTTACCCAACAGTGCCACCTGGGCTCTTTCCAAACAAGACTCAATGTTGTTTATAATAATGCTCTTCAAAACAGTGGAAAAGTACTACATAAGACACTCTATATTTACTATCAAGGAGAAATATTTACAACTATTGACGATAAATGAGGAACTCTGAGGACTTAATGGGTTACGAGTTGGGCTGCTAACCACAGGATTAGCAGTTCAATACCAGCAACCACTCTGGAAGAAAGACGAAGCTTTCTACTCCTATAAGGAGTTATGCACCTGAAAGGGGGCATGAGAGAAGAGCCAGCCAGCATGGCGACTGCCAAAAGCAACTAGTTGGAGAGGTGCCATGGTTGGAAGCTGTCTGACATTGAAGATGAGAGGGAAGTACTCAGGGAAGTCTTCCAGATCTTGTATGAATGCTTTCTGGTCCTGATCTAACTTTTTCCTGTTACGTCCACATTGTTTCTGACCGCATAATCCAGAGCTGGCGGCAGAAATGGCAAACCAGTTGGAGAGTGAGAACCTCTACTTCATAGTTAACATTGTGCTGATTCTCATTACTATCCCAAAGGATTCTAGACAAGTCTACCCCATAATCCTACAGCAACTAATGGTTCTTTTTAAAAAATCTTATTTTGTTGTTGTTGACAACATATATAGGCAAACACACCAATTCAACAGTTTCTCCATATAGCATTCAGTGACATTGGCTACATTCTTCAAGTTATACATCCATTCTGATCCTCCTTTTCTGACTGAATTGATTCTGACTCATTATAATCCGATAAGACAGTTAAAATTGTTCCATAGAGTTTCTCAGGCTGTAATTCTTTATGAAAGAAGTCTGCCTCATCTGGTAGGTATGAACTGCCAACTTTTTGGTTACCAGCTCAGGGTCAACCCACTTTTCCATCAATTATAAGTACTATGATACTAAAACACTAACAAAACAGTGAAGGATAAGAAAAAGATAAAAGGCTAGACAGGCTAGATCAGTGGTTCTCAACCTTCCTAATGCCACAACCTGTTCATACAGTTCCTCATGTTGTGGTGACTCCCAATCATAAAATTATTCTCGTGGCTACTTCGTAACTGTAATATTGCTACTGTTATGAATCGGGCAACCCCTGTGAAAGGGTGGTTTGACCCTCAATGGGGTTGCGACCCAGAGGTTGAAAATCACTGGGCTAAATAAAAGGATAATGATGAATACATAGAAATATGAATGGATTTTGAGCTCACACTTAATTTAGTCCTATTCTAAGAACAATTTAGTTTTAATGTCATGGAGCTACTTACTACCTGCTCTCATGAAGAGATCACTGAAGACATGGGTGCTATAGCAAAATGTGGTGAAGAAATCAAATGGTCGCCAGCTATCAGAAAGTAGTAGTATTTGGGGTCCAAAAGGCTTGTCTTAAAACAAGCAGCCATCGAAGTGAGGTGATGGTTAAGTCCACATGGAAAAAGCACACCAGCCTGTGTGATCCAAAGACTGTAAATAATTAAATCCAAGACCAGAAGAGAGAATGGCTTTAGAGCTTAAATTCGGAAGTGCGCAGTTTGCAGAAGGCTATGGATAACAATAAAAGCCCAAAATCCATTTGCAGGGTCCCCCACTTGCATTAAACCTCTGGTGAATCCCTCTGTCAATTGACTAGGAGTGTCAATAGCCTTGCAAGTAGACAGAGTACTTTGTAGGGTAGACGAACGCGATGTAGTTAGTTTAAGATTTAAAACCTTGTCATTTGTTCTCCTGTTTCACCCATTTGAAATTTGCTCTAGTTTTTATTATTTTCTATTGTCTTTACAACTGATATTTTCCCTGAGTTTTTTATTTTATTATTGTTATTGGGTTTTTGTACATTTTTTTCTATGAGAAATGCAGAATAAGGGGGAAGGCAAAAGGAGAAGGGAGAGAAAGGGGGAACCAATTGCAATGATTGATGTATTTATACCCCCACACAACCCAAGGGGACGAACAACAGAAACATGGGTGGAGAGTGGATGGTGTCAGATATGAAAATAATAATAATTTATAATTTATCAAGAGGGTGAGAGCGTGGGGGATGGAAGTAAGAGCTCAAGCAGAAAGAAGGTATTTTTAAAATGATAAAGGCAACATATGTACAAATGTACTTGATATAACTGATGTATTGATAGTTATAAGAGCTATAAGAGTCCCCAATAAAATGATTTATATAAAAAGAAATCCATCCAAAAATAAAAAGAAATCTGGAATAGGTAAATCTATACATTAAGTTTCTTGAGGTTATGGCAGTGGAAGTTAGGGGAGATGGGAGCTAATGAATATAAGAAAGAAGAAAGTGTTCTAAAATAATTATAGTAATGATTGCACAATTCATTTTAATATGTTTAAACGATTTAACTGTATGATATGTGGATTATAAATTAATATAGCTGGTAAATTAAATAAAAATTTTAAATGTTTCTTAACAAATGTGGTATCATTGTGACTTTTTCTGACCATCGTATCTTTTCATAATAAGAACATAATTACAAACCATTCAAATAATTTTAAAGTATAATTCATGGTTTAAAACTGTTGATTACCACTACTAGAAATAACAACAGAGCATTACATTTTTTTAAAGGTGCCTTTATATGTTAATAAAGACAGACAAAAACTTTTTTTTCCCCTTAAACTAGATAATCACAGGAGGAAAAAAAGTTATTTTGTCTGTTCCTTTAAATTATTGAAATCAAGTTTTCTAACAAAGTTTTAAATGACAAGATTTCTTTTTTTGGAGAAACATTCATTAAGTGTCTCCCATTAAAATCTGTCTTTCGGGGGTGGGGGGAAGATAAAAAAAAAATCTGTCTTTCTTCAGTAAATTCAGTAAGCATTTTTGCAAGGCTATCTCTGAATAGCAATGTACATTCGTGGGCCAGATCCTGCTCACTGTTTTTATGCAATTTATGTGACTGAATATAATTTTAAAAGAGATAATATTTCATGTCATGAAAATGTATATGAAACTCAAACTTCAATGGCTATAAATGAAACTTTATTTAAATACAGCCACATTCATTTGGCTGTATATTATTTATGGCAATATGCATGCTACAAAAGCAAAAATGAGTACTTATAACAGAGACCTGCTAAATTTCTTCTATCTGGCTTTCCCAGAAAAATTTTGCCAAGCTTTGCTATAAATGGTGAGGGGTAAGAAAACACTAATTAGAAATCAGTTTAAAATCAAGTATAATTAAGAATTTAATCTTAATCTGGCTCAAGGGGAAATGAAAAGATCTTAAACAAAGAGGTAATAACACCACAAAAATTTATATTTATATTCAGGAGCTTTTCAAACACTAATCCATTAAAAAATGGACTCACATTAATGCACACAGTAAATCCCTACTTTGTATATAAATGAGGTATTTCTGATCGTGGCTTATAAAGATTATTGGTATGCGCAGTAAACAATAATATTGTTGGTAATACTCACCTTTGGAAGGACAGGTCTCGATTTAACGTTTTTGTTTCTCCTAGAGAGGTAAATATATCAGAAAAACATACTGTAGAGATAAATGATTTTAACAGTTCATCCTAAACAACAGACTATATGTACCAGTTTTCAAGAAATGTAGATCCTCTATAGGAAAACAACCTCCATCAACCCAAGAAGGACCTTCGGGAAGAAAGGTAAGAAAGGGAGGAGAGAGATACATGTCGTGTAATTCAGGTAAAGGCAGATTCAAACCATGATGACCAGCAACCTGGTGTTATACATCATAAGTGATAGTCTACTATTTCCCTTTAGATAGTAGTGGGATTCTGTTTTCTTGTGTCTGTCTATAAAGCTTTATTTTGGTCATTTCTATAAGACTATAAATGAAATCTCTAATTTCACAATTTTAAAAAAAGTTCTACTCACTAAAATCTTCAACTTTGGAATTAGCATTTTTCTTCTATTTTTACTGCTCACAATTCTAGCATGCTTAAATTAATCCTTTTGAAGGTATGTTTTCATTTAGATTTTAGGCTAAAAACAAGGAATAACTCAGGTACTCCCTCAACGCAAGAATATTTTCTTCTATTAAATAGGCATTCTATGATGCTCACCTTTCCAACACAACCGCTGAAGACAAAGTGGGTGAATAAGTAAATGTGGCAATGAAAGCTGATGGTGCCCAGCTTTAAAAAGAGATAAGTGTCTGGGTTCTTAAAGGCTTAAAGATAAACAAGCGGCCATCTAGCTCAGAAGCAACAAAGCCCACATGGAAGAAGCACACCAGCCTGTGTGATC